AAAAGAAAAGAAAAAGGGAAAAGAAGAAAATAAAAGAAAAAGGGAAAAGAAGAAAATAAAAGAAAGGAAAAGAATAGAAAAGAAGAGACATCTGTACCTGCATAAGGCTGATCCAAGCTTGAGAAGGCAGAGTCCAGACCTGGAGAGCTGGGCATGTCACAAAGCCCGTTTAATTCACAACTCCCCATAAACAGAGAGAGAGGCAATGAGAGAGAAGCAAAGCAGTTCCCTGCTGGAGCAGAACCAAAACTCTGAGGTGTCCAAGCCCTTTGCTATCAGCTCCACAAGCCTTTTAAAGCCTCTCTTTTGTCTCGTAGGCATTGCTGCCGAAAGCCATGAGGTCACTTTGTCTATTTTTGTCTTCTTAGCTTCATCACTGAGCAGTGTGATGGACATTGTCACCTGGCACTTAAACACTCCTTCTTTCCCCCATCCTCTACTCCCTGTGAGAAGAAACTCCTCTTTTTTATTTTAAAATACGAAAAATATATTCTATACTCTCACTGCTTCTGTGGTGCAAGCTTCAGGTTAGAAAGGTGCAAGCTTCAGGTTAGTGTTTCCAATGCCTCAACATCCAGCATTTCTGTACTAAAGAGCCATTCAAAGAGACGAGACTAACACTGTGCTCATGTCCAACATGGACAGGCAGAGAAGCCCACCCAGCAGAAAAGAAACTTTCCTTTTCTGAAACCCTCAGAGAGCACCCAGCTGCAGGTAAATATAAGGAAGAAAAGAGAGAGAAGAGGCTTTCTTTTCCTGTGTATACCAATTTCTTCCCATGTCTGAGGAGAACCAGGTACAGATTCCTGTTGTGTACCAGGGCTGAGGAACATTTAACAGAGGAGCATTAGGATCCTGGGTGCCTGTAGTGAAGTGTTTTAGTTGAATTAAAATTGCAGAGGCTGTTACGTACACCACTGAAGAGTGTGGCTGTGCCCAGGGAGGGTGATGGAGTGTTTGGAGGCCAAGGAGTGGTGTGTTGGCAGCACCATTCAGAGCTCCAGTGCTGGAGACTGAGAGGTGTTGAAAGATGAGGTGCTGATAGTGAGGACTGGGGTGGACAGGGAGGAAGGGAACAGAGGATGCTGGGAGTCTACAAATCTCCACCGTTGTGGCCTGCTCAGCATCTCCTCACATTTTGGCTAGGTCTCGTCTTACTGCCTCTTTCAGTACACGAGTAACAGGTCCTGTGAGAGAATCCAGAGTTGTGGCCAAGGGACACCCTGTGATTCTTCCTCCCAGCAGTCCCAGCCTTACAACACTGTAGCCCAGGACCGGAGCAGACCTTCTCCAGTGTTAGTGAGTCTAGAAAAGTGAAGGTCTGACCATGCCTCCTGAAATCCACTACCCATCGCAGCATGCCAAGGAAGACAACTTCCACAAGCAATGTTGGTATAAGAGAGACCTGTCATGCGTCATACAGAGGCTCTTGCAGCAAGAGCAATGAAAGTGGTTCAGTCTCTTCTTCTTTGATGAATATTTACACATATAGGGATACAGTCTCTGTGGGAAAACCTTACAGAATCTGATATATACAATATGCAACTGGAAATGAAAATACAGCTCTGCAGTACAGAAGAAAATCTCTATTAAGAACATTCAAATGGAATAGATAAAAATGTAAGTGGAAGGGTTATAAAAGTCTCCTACATTCTGGTATGGTGGATAATTTCTATAGAAAACTTTTTGTTAACATTTAAAGCACTAAGTTCTGTTGGAATAATCCACAAAAAGGAAAAATGTCTATTAAGCAAAGCCTACAAAGTTTTTTCCATTAACTTAACTAAATTTCACTGAAGTGAAATGAATTACATTACTAATTACAGTAAAGAGAAGTGTAAAAAGTGTAAATCTTTTC